ATGGTGCCACATCTGGAGAATATGGGGTGGGGAGAACTTCCCAACCCAACTTCCATAATCTTGTGTTGCGTCAAACGTGCCACATGGGGATGTGCATTGTCGTGGAGAAGAAGAACACCTTCCCATTCACAAATGAAGGGCTTGATTTAAATGTTCCACTTGCTGACGATAGATCTCTGCATTGATAGTTCGCTGTGGATTGAGGAGTTCGAAATGAATTGCTCCTTTGATGTCCCACCAAAAGCAAAGCATCATTTTCTGCGGATGGAGTCCAGGTTTGGGGGTCAAAAGTGGTTTTTGTTTGGGACTGAGCCATTGTTTTTGGCGTTTAATATTCGCACATAGAATCCATTTTTCATCACCAGTGACAATTCTGTTCAAAAATAGTTCACGCACATTAAGCGCCAGAAGCAACGTTCACACGTTGGAAACTATCATTGGGGAGCTCGTGAGGCACCCAAATACCTTCTTTTTTGCAGTTTTCCCATATTCCTTAGATGTTTGCGTATTGTTTCATGAGGGACATGCAATTTCAGGGCCATTTCACGAGTGTGTTGCTTTGGGTTACACCCAACAAGTGTCTTCAGAGCATCAGTATCAATTCCAACATGTCGACCCTGCCATGACAGTTTTAAGGCTAAAGTCACCTGAACGAAATTTGTTGAACCATCGTTGACACTTACGAACGTTCAAACATTTCCTAGAACTTATTTGATATTCTTTGTAGCTACAGAGAGAGGCGTTATTTCCCTTCTTGTATTCAAACAGCATTACATGCCGAATGTGTGTCTCGTCGTGTGCCGTCACTATAAGGGATTAGAGTACACTAAACTTTACACGTTATATAGGCTACACTAACGTGACGTTTAGGTTATGCGTTTAACTATTAAATGTGATGTACGTTTTTTTTTTTGGGGGGGTGTGGTTAATGAAAGTGTTCGAAAACGCGACATTAATTTCTTGACGACCTAATACTTGTAACATCTACTTAAATGTGTGAAATGTGAAATACAAATATCCTCACGTGGTCACACCCATACAGACAGTGTTTCTATAAACAAAGGATGATGACCTCATTGTGTCAACACGTCTTCAATGACTAGAAAGAAGAGGTGGGAAACTTTTATTAAAATAAGAGTCAATTATAATATATTGTGTTTATGTTTTGCATTATACTCAATATTGAAAAGAAATTGTTCAAACTCTTCGTAATCATATATTTTCTACATAAATTTAATGGTCACCATACTTTAACTAGAGATTTTGTATGTCACTGAAATCTGCAAATCGGTAAACGTGTTTAGAATAATGTTTCAAAATGAAAGATCTATTGAGTTATAATCTATGATATTTACATAAATATGTGAAATATATTTCATTATACACTAATGTATAATTATTATTTTAAATATATCATGTTATAATGTTTCGAAAATGTTTTGAAGCATTGTTGCTGTATATAAGACGAATATTTCAAATACTGTATGTTGAGGCCATTGACAACCGCATGACAATGGTCACTTTTTATTATCTAGCATTAACGATAGATTTATTTTACGACACTTTTTAAATCAAAGACAGGATAAAGGTTTTGGTTGTGTAAATATTCCCATTAGGATTTATTACAATGACAATCAATATTATAACAATTAGACACAGAACATACTAATTGTCTAAAATATTTTGGGCGAACACCAATCACCATGATGGCATCCCCCTGTTCAAAAAACACAATAGTCTTTGTTAACACTAAAAATACACGTGTCACATATCCAGGTAGGTTTTGGTTACTTTTTCTTTCAAGATGGTCCTTTATTCTTTGTATTGTTACTGTACTGGTTGTCATTTGATCGTAGAGGTCTCTGTTGTTATTAACTCGTTTTCTTCAGATCAATAAGAAGTATATAATATTACCTCTTTATTTTATCAAAATCAGGATGTTGGCATTTATGTATAGAAATGAATAAAAACCCTATAACCCGAGTGCTTTCGAGAGGCGGACCTTTCTTCTTCTTCAGGGGCAAACTGGGAATGGGCATTTCTTTGTACATATTTCTCATTTTGATACTTACTTAAACACTATAGTACATAATGAAAATAAACTGAATAATCAGCTTAAATCGATTCTTATACTCTGAAAAAATGTACTTTATCTTATAAGTACTCAAAAAGAACAGTATGAAATCAACGATCCTAGTCAAAGTCATCATTTTTTGTAACATTAGAAATAAATGAAAGAAACTCACCTTATATAGATCCTGTTTGAGTACAATTGGGATTAAACCCCAAGGCCCTGCACATGCTCTCTTTCCATTCCATAGACCATGGAAAAAATCAGTGTCCATACGGAAGAGTGAGTGTTAAAGTCTGGAAGTATGTATCGTTTGGTGTAAACTGGACGATAATTATTCTTTTCTTCCTTGTTGTACTGAGGTACTTGTGGTCTGAGTCTTTAAATTTCTACAAATCTTCTTGTGATTAGTCACGATCATAGGAGGCTGAAAATGAATGAATATATTTGTTATCACATACTTCTTTGATGAGAAGTTAAATTTGTCGCTGTTGATAAAATTGAGGGAATTTCATACGTTTAAACAAAATAATTTTCTTCAGAAGAAAAATAGCCTTCATCTTCTGTCCGAATCCTCATTTGAAATACATTATGTCTACATTAATAAATTATTTTCTACTTCTAAACTATTAGTTTCTTGTTTTGATCTAGAACTCACATATTTGTCGTTTAAATATATCTTTACAACTATATCTCACAATGGTCTATACATAGTCTAACTTCTTGAATGTGTAATTATATAAGCACGTAAAGAAATAACAGTATCGTCCATCTTATAATTGCCCCTATACCGCCAGAAACCTGGTTTCGATACCCGTGGCGGGCAGAGCACAGATAGCCCATTGTGTAGCTTTGTGCTTAATTACAAACAAACTTATGGTTTGGACTAACTTCTTCAGTTTTTATCTGAGGGACAATTTCCTCTGACAAGCTGACGGTATGATAACCTTTGATATTTACAAATAACACAAACTGACATCTGTATGGATATCTCGAAGATGTCGTCAAACACTCAGTCCCTAACTTTTTTCTTTACACCATCAGAAATAATGCTGTAGTGACAATACGTTCAGCGTTGTACATTTATTTACCATCAAACGATTGATTTTTAATGATGATCACAAAACTATTGTAAAAGTGTCTCCCTTCTCTGCTAGTCATCTTTATAGTCTTTAATATAAAAATTTATGTAACTGTAACTTAAGGAGAACAATGTGAGAATGTGTTATGATTTTAACTTATTCCTGTTACTATAGTGAACTTTACTAATTTTTTTTATAAATCTTATAACAACAGAAGTATAACAATGATTATAAACTAACTTGTATGAAAGTTAATTTAATCTTGATAATCCATACATATTTCAGTTTGTGTTATTTGTAAATATCAAAGGTTATTATACTGTCAGAGGAATTGTAAGATGGACAATACTGATATATATTTACGTGTCTAAACTATTACACCTTCAAGAAGTTAGACTATGTACATATCTTTGTGTGTTAGATTTGTAAAATTTTATTTAAATGACAAATATGTGAGTTCTACATCAAAAACAGAAAGTGATAACTTAGAAGTAGAAAATAATTTCCTATTGAACCATCAAATATTGAGAACTTCGTGAATGTACATTTAGTTTTCTGTATTGTTATGTAAAGTATAAGAATATATAAGTTTGTTTTGCTGACTGTTAAGTTCAGTGAAATGAAAAATCCGTCCTTCATTGTCAGAGTTAATGGGTTGTGGACATATAGTTTGTTTTGGTTACAAAGTTTAACCTGTAATGATAGACAGTAAACCCAATGTTTGAGTATGTGTGATACTTTACAAGTCTTTACTTACATATATTGAAGGTAACACTTGAGTTTTAAGTTGTAGGGGTGTGGCATGTGAAGGTCAGCACGATAGGGGACACAATTTAGTTTTCATGTGCATGATGTGTTTTGTATAGTTTCTAAAATAAAGACATTTATGGTGGCTATTAACCTGCTAGAACAAGTATATACTGCAGGTATTATTACATTGAGGTGTATGTGAGTATTTTATAAACTAAGATGTTTTCGTAAATAGCATATTAGTATATCTTGAAGTTTTGTTCCCAAATGTTTCGGTATGCTTGTTAAATATGTGATTTTGCATACTGTTTTAAAATAGTCGAAGGATAATTACTCGATTTATAACTAAAGGTTCTTTTTACGATTATGATTGTCAACTTTGACTCGTGAACGAGTTTATCAACACTACCTGGAAACAACTAACTCTGTTACTACACAAGTACATAATGTATTATTAAATCTCATGCATTTTACATGTTTATGTAATCTAAGTAAATGTCATAAATTAGAAATGAATCGACCTTTCATTTTGATAATTATTCCAAGCTGACTGACACAGTCTGAACTTCTGACCATTTGCTGTATGTCATGCACAGTATGCAATAATTGTACGCTAACTGAACAGCTTATTTGGATTATAAACATGATGGATTTATAAAATTGGAAATAAATGGGATATATATATATATTCTTGTCTTTTATCTTAAGAAGCTTGAAAAATACGGAAGTAGAATTTTGGTTTGTCTGTCCGTTTTGTAGAAACGAACGTAATGCTTGTTTTTCTCAATCAAAGTATCGGACAAAACGCAATATCAGTTATTAACATTACATCATTTATTAAGATATTTCATTTTAGATACGAAATTTCCACCCGACTCACAAACTCGGGTAGTGACAAACATGTGATTAATTGGATAACGATGTGAGTTAACTTTACAGTAAATCTTCACCCAGCCAATACTCCGATATAAAGTCAGAGGAAAAATAACCAACAGCTAAAATGGGTAGAAGAATTGCCATAACAATCTCACTAACCTCCAGCATATTGTGTCTGGGAATAAGTGACCTACACCAAATGTTAACACAGTCCAGGCAATGTTTGAGAGGACTTGATGATCTCTATATTCCGGGCTCAATACTGAAATTATTTGGGATTTCAGTGGTTATATCACCAATGAGTCATTGGATTTCAACGTCTACGATACTTTTAAGACCAAAAAACGAGTTATGACCTTTACATTCAGAGTTTTTTGTTTGCTGCATAGGGGTACTAGCCGTCCATAATTATGAATATAGAGAAGACAGCTATTTAACAGTGCCCATCACCAACCATTAGGATGCTTTAGTCAAATCTTGAGAAATAACTGTCAATCTTGTTACTCGTGCACAAACCCAACTTGCAGAACGCTATTTCGTGGCAGAGGGACACGAATAATAGATCCTGAGAATTTACAATCCGGCATGATAACAACCACGTTAGTCCAGGCCTACTTTCAGAGCGGTTGACTAGAGGGAAGGTAGCTAGTCGTCACCACCTACCGCCAACTCTTGAACTAATCTTTTAGCAACGAATATTGGGATTATAACGCCCCCACGGTTGAAAGGGCGAGCATCTTTGGTGGGACGGGGATTCGAAACCGTAACCCTCAGATTGCGAGTTAAGCACCCTAACCACCTGGCCATGCCGGGCCTATTTCATATGGAAAGAGCGTCTTCATTATTACGAACAGTACCTCTGGTGGTAAGATAAACTTTTGAAGACTACCTTTAGTAATATGTTTATGGTGTTATGGTTCCAAAACTCACATCCAGCTAATGATTGTATGATCCACCAATACATCTTAAGGTTGACTGCTGACACAAGCATTCGAAGAAGATTTTTTTCTCCAGTCTCTCAAATGAAAGAATGGAAGAAAACGCTTAAAGATAACTCACAACAACTAGTGAAACAAGTCAAGCTCTAAATAACAGTTATAGACACAAGAGAAAAGAAGCGGCAATCTAAGACTTTTATCATATTTTACACTCAATGGTTCACCATCTTAACCAGAAAAGTTAAAAATTGACTTCATTCAAAATTTTGGAGTTTAACAACCAGAATATCAAATGCAACACATTTCCAATTGAAAGTGATTCCACCAGACTCGCTACTATCCAATATAAAAAAAACACTGGCAAGCAATTTACGGGTTTGAAACTACGATGGAACGCAACTGTTGCTTTTTGCAGAGGACCAAAGAGAACTTCAAGAATTAACAGCTTGGTAGAGACGAAAGAGAAGCTGGGAAAGAATGAAGCGCAACTTTGTTTTACCAAAAAATACTTCAAAAGACCAGGAACCTTCTGAGAAGAAAGTATCTGCAGTAAAAATATTTCAGTAAATCATCCATCATCTTTGCTGAGTGAGAATCCAGTGAAAATAGAGTCGCAATAAAATATCACATAACAAATCCAAACAATATCCATTTTTATCTCAAATCAGCTCTATGACGATATTATGGAACTACATGATCATTTACATGAAATATATATTCATTGATATCTTTTTTTGTGCTTAATAAAATTACTCAAAGACTAAGGTTTGAACATTGCTTTGTAAAGAAATTCAAAGACTCATAGTGGCTATAGCACAGATACCACATTATGTGGCTTTGTGCTTTAAAACAAACAATTAAAAAATCACATCATATATTCATGTTCAGCTGACAACTTTTTGGTCCGTGTTCTTTAACCAGTTACAGTATGAATGCTTTTCAGAGATTCAATCCGTTTATTCTTAATGGCGTACATAAACAATCTATTCGAATATTGAATCCTGATGCTTCTTCTCTTTTAATTCTTCATGTCTGAAATCTCTTTGGACGCAACAAAGGGTCATTCACAAACATTCAATATGCTTCTAAACGACGCTCGTCATATCTTGTGGAAACGAATGTGTTTGATCTTTGAGAAGCCACTATAATGTAATATTAATGATATATCAAAATCCATTTTTTGTAGGCTTTTGAAGAATGACATGAGTGTTCTCCCCAAAAGATTAATTGTAGATCACACAGCCATCTAACTATCGGCTTTGCTTCTATAGTGGTTTACTCAAATTCATGTTCATTAAATATTTGCAAACTGCAAAGAAATAAAATTATTATTAGAAGGATTTAAACAAATCCAATAATTTTAGGTATACATTCTTACAGGAATTGCGTTGAAAATTTATAGAATGTCTTCTTTTTTTGTAGATTTTGTACCATTTATACCTTAATGAGGGCGACAAAGGATGTGATATGGTGGTATTAAGATTTCTGACACCCCAGTTAGTAGTATTGCATATATTACTTGCTCGTTTCTGAGATCCATCCTTGCTTTTCCTGTCATCTTACTAATCACAGTATTTATGTTAATTGGTTTACATGGAAGCGACGAGAAAACAACACCAAAATGTACT